TAAATATTAAAGTGCAAATTTGTTATTGGCACTTTAAGAAGACACTTAAAAAGCAATTATCAGATAATTCTCAACCAAAAAGAATAATATATAGTTCTTATGATGCATATAATTTATTTAATTTCATTGATATTAAATTTTATCCTACAGAATTACTAAAGAGCAATTTTTGCTTTTGTTCAAAAAATCTACAACCTAAAGTTATTTTGATTATGGAGTATCACATACATTTGCATCCTCTTATTCCTAATTTAGAAGGGATCTTTAGCACAAAAGATGAAATTTGAACACAATGTACGAAAGAAATATATGAATTTTGTGTTATGAATGATTTTAAATACCTTTGGTCATATTTATAAACAAATTAGTATTGTAATAAACTTTGGCAACTTTGGGTCTGTTCTGCAATATTTGATCGAATTTGTGTTTTTCGCATTACTATACTTGTTGAATTACATTGAAAAGTAATCAAATATAACTTCTTACAAAAATTCTTCTGATCATGGCTTGATCTTGTAAGTTATATTATTACTTCATGACTTATTCTATATTAAGAACAACAATATTACAAGTATTTTAACAAATGTGAAATTCCATCTTGGCATAAAAACTTTAAAAGGGAATGGGTTTCATTAAAAAAAAAGGAGATCAAAAATACTTACATAACTGATATCAATAAATAGTTTTGCAATTGTACTAGATTCTTAATGAATTGATTTTTTTTATATAAACACTTAGTTCAATCATCTTTATTTACTATAAACCTAGAATTTTATCATGGTGTTTAAAAACAAGATATCTATCCATTTATATACTTACCAGGCAAAAAATTTTATACAACCATCAGTTGGCATAACATTATCATTAAGTAATACGTTGAATAATTTATTATCAAATAAGAAAATATAAATTTTAATAAATTTACAACTTATATAATTAAATAAAATTCTATTTTTTAGATGCGTTTAAAGATATTACCACCACTACAAACAATAATTCAGATCAGCTTTTTAAAAATTATGAATCAATGTTGCAAGATGCATTATCAATTGTACAAGAACAACATGAAATTAAGAATGTTAAATGGGCAAAATCTATTGAAAAAAATTTTGAGGGTATTAATAAACTGGTAATGGATATCAAGGTGTATAAAAGAAAAATAAAGAATCCAAGAATGTGGAAAGATTATAATTGACACACTATGTTTTTGTAGCTTTAGAGGTTGATATATAATTTTTATTTTATAATTTTATTTTAGTTAAATATTGCTATATTAATTTTATTAATTAAATTAACAATCACCATGATGTCCATTTTAAATGAATGTAAACTATTAAAGGAGCCAATGAAAATTCTGGTATAATTTTTAGTCAATAAATATTTTATCAGATTCTTTAAATTTAAATTTAGCCTTCTTATTTTAGGATAATATTATAGGCCAAATGACTACTTAGCAAAACCTTTTTTTTTAAAAAAAGACCAATTGCTGTGCGTACAAAACAAATCAATATTAATAACTTTGTTGTTAATTAGTGTCTTAGCAATTTGAACAAGAAAAATTTCGCTTAGCATATGCTTATCATTGTTAATTTTCAAATGCTGTTTTTATCAATTCAAATTTGAAAATCTAAATGTTTTTTTAATGAATTTATTATTGAAAAATAAAGTGCAAGCGTGAATTAAATATGCTGTATTTCTATATCTGGATTATTAAATAAATAATTTAAATAATATACTTGAAAGGCAAGCGCATTTATACATAATTAAAGTAAATTCTAAGATCGGTATTCTTTCAGGGACTATTCACGACTTAATAATAAATTAATCTGCAATTAGCCAATCACAGCACATAATACCACGTGACTGCGCAAAAAATTTGGAGGTGCCGTTGGTGTAGTATCACACTATAAACCATACTCTACGTTGTACGTTGTACAAACTCCGTTCCTGGTATTACATAGCGATGTTATCCAAACTATTTGGGACGTCACAAATTATGTAATGAATAGCATCACACGATTCAGCAATAACAATACGGAGGTAAATACCTCACGCGATATTATTCATCACATAATTTGGGACGTCCAAATAGTTTGGGTAACATCACTAATATACTGTATATATATATAGCTATTCAAATTTCATTATCCGTCCTCCACGTCCAAAATTATTGATGTTGGCCAATTAATCAACCTTATTTTACTGATCTATTAGTAAGATAGAATTATGAAATTATTTTTGATTATTGTTAAGTTTTATATTCTTGTCAATATCAATGGAGTAAACACGTTCACACCTCCTCCAAGAGCAGAACAAGCTGCTATTCTTATAGATAATGAGGTTTATTTTAATGGCGGGTGGGATGGTTTTTTTGTTTCTGACTTTTTTTATCTTGATATATCAAAACCTTTCAACACAAATAATATAGTATGGGTTGATCTCTCATCAATTGCGGGCCGAATAAATAGGACTGCCTCGACAGCTTGTATTGGTTCAAATAAAAATCAAATCATCTATTTTAGTGGCGGGGCTGTTGCAGTAGGTGGCAATTTTACTTCAATATTCGATATTACAACGCAAAAATGGAGCACACCAGAAACTTCAGGAAATTTTAATGCAACCGAACGAAAATTTGATCAATGTATTACTTCGGGAAATTCAATATATATCTATGGAGGATATGATGATTTATTTAACATGGTCAAATTAGATACTTCAGATTCCAATTTTGTTTGGTCAACATATTATGCTGGAATGATAGCACCCCTTGGTCTTGTGGGTTACAGTGCTACTCTCATAAACAATGCCTCTATATTATATATTGGGGGTAGATTATATGCTAATTCTTGGGTTGATCTTTCCTACAATTTATTGGACAAGGTTTGATCATATTAAACAAATCCTTTCGAAAATATATCTCTCAAAACTTCATTTTATTTACTCAACTTCTGCGTAATATTTCTACAGTTACCAATGTACAATATAAATAATAATACTTGGAGTTTAGTTGTAAGTTATTTCCTAAGTTCAAAAGTTATCTCACAATTTACACCCACATTTCGAAATCGAGCAATCCAAAATGAATATCCATTATCATAATAACATTTATAATTTATTATGATTGTATCCAGAATACTTCAGGGAATATTCCTTACTCACGCAGCAATCACGGAGCGGTCTTTATATGTGAGTTGCAATTATTATGCCACAATTAGTATATTTAGTATATTAGTAAACATGTAATGATATCAATTACTTTTTATTATTTAAATTATTAATTAATATAGCTCAATATAATCAAATTTTAATATTTTATGGACAACCTAGTTCTTCATTTATTGCGCTTGATACCCTAAAATTTACATGGTCATCTCCTACAATTTCTAATGGTGGTTCTCAATACCAATTGATTAGGTGTACTTCATTACTAATTGGCGCTTATGTTCTAATTGCATTTGGACAAGATCGTAAGTACATATAATATAACATTATAATTTAATTTTATTTCTATTAATTAACCTCAAAATTCAGATAAAAGCAACAATTTTACAAATGACGTTTTTCTTCTTGATGTAAGTTTAAAAAATAATTATCAATGGTCTATGACATTCGATCCTACCAAATTGCTTCAATCTATTTCTGCAACGACTGATATGTCATCAACACCAACATCTAATATTTTGAATGATTCATCATCTGTTAATTTTGGCGCAATAATTGGAGGTACATTTGCTGGAATTGCAGGTCTTATTATAATATCAGCAGTTTCCGTAATAATGGTCAAAGGATATGGAAATTCTCTCAATTTTATTTCACAAGAAGAGACAAGTAATCAAATAGAACAGTAAAAAGTATGTTTGTAATTCTTTTTGTTTTTATATTAACAGTTAACGATTAAAACTTTTATTAAAAATTATTAATAATACATTATTTGGTTTTAGGATTTTATTTAAAAATTTATTAAGGTCGTTAAAGCATCAGATAAAGGTGAGAATTGATTCTATAATATTAATTGTTCTAATCATTAATAGAATTTGTATTAATTTTAATTTCTGACTAATAATTCTGGTTGTTCCTAGAATCGATGACACGTTTTTAAAGTCGGTTTTAAAATATGTTATGAGATTATTTTTTTGCTCATAATGTAATTTACTACATGTCTTTTAATATATTATTACAAGTCCATAAGTGAATTTCAATTATGTGAGTAATTAGCTAGTTAGTAAAGTAATAAAACGTTGAGTATTATATTGGAGTTAGCGTCAACTAAAATAATGCGTATTATTTTGCCTAAAAACTTAAACTGTAGCTCGAATTTAGGTATCTTTTAATATTCATGTTATTAATTAGATGGCTAGAAACGATATTGCATATTGCACGCGAAAGAAAATTAGGTATCTCATGCCATAGCATTTTAAAAATTTATTTACAAAATCTTAATACATTATAAGTTGAAATTGGTAATTCTCACCTGTTATGTTTTTGTAGTAATGTCAACTAATTAATTTTAATAAACGAAATAGTTTTTGCGCAAAAATATTTTAATAGCAATTACTATTTATACACTAGTGTATTAAACACAGATGCTTATAATGCTCAAAATTTTATATATGAACCACCTACTCATTTGTTAACTTTGAAACCTTCTGTTATAAAAAATAGTTGAAGTGCTAAGTTGTTCTGCATTATTTTACATTTTACACATTTGTCATTACGTTTCGCGTTTCATGGAATCTGACATTATGGTCGGCGTAAGGATATATATTTTTTTTGACGGACCTATCAGATGATTTCAGGAAATTAAGGTCTCTATCGGGTGGTACCGCGAAAATAAGAAATGGACCGGCGATTTATGCAAAATGAAAAATACTTTGTGACCTAATAGCTTTCTATGCTTAGAAATAAATTAGACACCATTATTCTCGCTCGGATCTGTTTATTATTCGAAGAAGATACACTATGGGGAGTGTGCCATGCTGCGGCTCTTTATTTATATATGCGCCGATATATTACATTATGAAAATAACAATGATACTGCATATGTATAAAATATTGTACGAAGTTCACGTGACGAAGATTTATGAGAATCGGGCATGTGTTATGATATGCCGCGTTTAGAGGGATGGCCCATGCTAGGTGTGGCGCATCAAAGGGTGGATACCCATCTCAAGGGAAGAATGTATATATGTGTACATGCAGGTAATTTACACTGAGCGTTGGGGAGCAAGCTACAAAACAGATAT